TGAATGATATGGTAACATAGGCAGATCTACGGGGGGGGGGGGGGGTTAGGGGGTTTAACATTTTTGCGCTTTTTTTTTTTTTTATTTTTTTTATTTTTAACTCTCACTTTCACCTATCCCAATGCATGATTACAATAAATAGAGAGAGAGAGAGAGAGAGAGAGAGAGAGAACCACCATCATTATGCAATGGTTCAGGGTTTGTGTAATGTACGTTTGAAATCATTTCTTAGCGTCTCAACCCTAAACAAATAGCGAAACTATTTTTGAGGAAAAGCATTATACTGAACTGAATATAGAATAATAACTTTATATTGGCTCATACTAATACTGATACGGGATAAAGACAATGTGGTATCGGCACTGTAAGATCAGGTATTTGTATAGAGGTATTCCAAAATGACATTCTGATAATCAACATTTTGTTCTGTTATCAATGTATATACGCATAATACAACTGATCTTTGTGATTTCTTAACGTGACATAAAAAATTATAGCTTCTTCTCCCCCTGCAAACAAAAAAGAAAACAAGGTTATTTAATAAAAGGATCCTGGGACAAAATGATCATTGTGATTCAATTGATGCAAGGATTTTTTTGAATAAGCAATGCTTTTTACCAGAATCTTCTTTGTAAAAACGACTTTTAAAAATCTCAGCCATGCAATTCTGCCACTGTGTTGAAAGATCACTTTCACATTAGGAGAAGTGTATTCTTTAATGAGTATTTTAAATTGAATGGAACGTCTCAACTCAGTAAGCATGGCTGAGATTTGTAAAAGTTGTTTTTACAAAGAAGATTCTGGTGAATAGCAGTGCTTATTCAAACAAATATTCGCATCAATTTGAATCACAATCATTATTTGTCGCTTAATCCCTTTAAATGACCTTGTTTTCTTTCTCGTTTGCAAGGGGAGAAGAAGATATGTCATAGTGTGGTAAGGTATGTCACTGAAACAGCTCCCGTAGGACTTTTGTGCAATTTTTTTTTGCATTTTTGCATTTTTTTATTCATTGGGGTCCAAGCTATCAAAAATTGATGGGGTTCAAATTTTCCCGAATACACCAAATTTCTCTATTGCGCTCTATATAAGCCATTTTGGCGCCCAATATGGACCCCCCCAGGAAATGAAGGAGGGGTCTGAAAATTTGAACCCCATCATTTTTGGCCAATTGGGACCCTTTTGAAGCCAAAACAGCAAAAAATCAACTTTGGCAAAAAAAATCATACGGGATTACATACCATACCGCACTACATCATAAAGATCAGTGTTGTATGCGTATATTATATTATATACACAGGCCCCGCGGAACGTTTATCAAAGTGGGGGGGGGGGGGGGGGGCTAAAGTATTTACGATCAGGTAGAGGGTAGCGAGCGTAAATTGGTGTGGGGGGGTTCAGGGAGTGGAGCCCCCGGAAGCTCAGGGGTTTTAGGCATTTAATTACGGTCAGAGAAGCACATATATTTTGTTGCCGCATTTATGTCACTGGTAGGTCAAGGGGGGGGGGGCTTTTTTTTTAAAGGTTAAATTTACGTTATTATCCTATTTTGTACCGGTTTGGGAGGCTAGGGGGGGGGGGGCCCGGGGGGCGGGCCGTTAGAATCGGCCCTTGGCTCCGCGCCTGTACAAAAAAGCAACAAAAACAGAATCGCCTCGCCGCTACGCGGCTCAGTAAAGAAAGAATGTAAAGGTTGCTCCGAATAATGAGGAGGAAATAATGTGCACAACGGGAAGAAATCGAGAGAATGTCATCAGGGGATGAAAGTCAGTAACAGCTATGTATAGCTTGTTAATTTGTAAGAGGGAAAATGCTGATTAAAATGATATTGATGAAATAGCAAATAATTGAGGAGTATCATAGGTACCAATTCAATGGAAATTTGTATAAAAAAGAGCCCACGTGAGAAGGCTTACGGGGGCTCTTTTTTGAGGGGAAGAGCCCCCGTGGACAAAAAATTAATTTGAGCCCTGCTCTCTCTCTCTCTCTCTATATATAGAGAGAGAGAAAGAAAGTGAGAGAGAGAGAGAGAGAGAGAGAGAGAGAGAGAGAGAGAGAGAGAGTGAGTGAGAGAGAGAGAGAGAGAGAGAGAGAGAGCTAAAATTCCCCTATTTTGTTATGAAGTGCACCGTCGGGCGCAAAGTGCCATATTCAAGTTGGGCAAAGTGCCCTATAGAGTCAATTAATATTCCTCTTTAGTAACGGAAAGTGCCCCGTAAGGAGCAAAATTCTTACTTCATGGATGCAAAAGTGTTTTTTAGAGCTGGCATTGAATCAGCCAGTTGTAGCTATTGCATAACACAAAGTCATGTACGTGTATAAGCACAGGATGCTTGGGAAATGCGAGGAGTCCGGGTGTGTTGCGTCTTCTTCTTCTCTCTTTTTTTTTTTTTTTGCGTACCTTTTGTTGTGAGTGATGTGTTCAAGAGTAAGTGTTTTCTATATAATAGGATAAACCGATAAGAACTTTAATTTCAATTTGGAAAGGGCGATAAACACAACATAGAGTTATCAAGGGGCTAAGCCCCCGGAAGCTCAGGGGTTTTAGGTATTTAATTACGGTTATATGAGCATCCAGGGGCCCTCTTTAAGGCCATTGACGTGTTCCAGGGGGAGGGGGAGGGCCCCCGGAAGCTCAGGGGTTTTAGGTATTTAATTACGGTCAGATGAGCATCCAGGGACCCGCCTTAGGGCCCTTGGTGGGGTCCAGGGGGCAGAGCCCCGGAAGCTCAGGGGTTTTTAGGTATTTAATTACGGTCAGATGAGCATCCAGGGGCCCGCCTTAGGGCCCTTGATGGGGTCCAGGGGACAGAGCCCCCGGAAGCTCAGGGGTTTTAAGTATTTAATAGCGGTCAGATGAGCATCCAGGGGCCCGCCTTAGGGCCCTTGGTGGGGTCCAGGGGGCAGAGCCCCCGCAAGCTCAGGGGTTTTAAGTATTTAATAACGGTCAGATGAGCATCCAGGGTCCCGCCTTAGAGCCCTTGGTAGGGTCCAGGGGGCAGAGCCCCCGGAAGCTCAGGGGTTTTAAGTATTTTATAACGGTCAGATGAGCATCCAGGGGGCAGAGCCCCCGGAAGCTCAGGGGTTTTAGGTATTTAATTACGGTCAGATGAGCATCCATGGGGCAGAGCCCCCGGAAGGTCAGGGGTTTTAGGTATTTAATTACGGTCAAATGAGCATCCAGTGGACCGCCTTAGGGCCCCTTGTGGGGTCCGGGGGCGGAGCCCCCGTAAGCTCTGGGGTTTTAAGCATTTAATTACGGTCAGATGAGCATTTTTTATACCTTATTTGTGACATTGGCAGGTCACTTATTTTTTCTCTCTGGCTTTCTTTCTTTTTCTCTTTAACATACTTTTTCAAAAAGTGAGGGCGGGGGGGGGGGGGGGGGGGGGGGCTCGAGCCCAGCCACTTTGCAGATCATGACATAAAGGCTTCTAAATAAGCGTATTTTTTGCCAGACTGTAATTTGGGAATTTCTATTTTCCAACAAACCTATAAAAAGGTATGACTTACAAAAAAATGGAGAAAAATACCGGAAAATCATGTCATAACAGCAACATTTGCTATCACTGGTATCGAATAAGAAATACATCCCCTCCCCCCCCCTCATTATTATCGTTACAATCATCGTCATCATCATCTTCATCATCATCATCATCATCATCCTTCTTTGTCTTTATTTGTATCAGCACGATAGTGTTGTAAATGTGTAGAAAATATTGTAAATTTATGTGAACAATCATCAATGTACTTATGAATGCCCTATCTTACATGATTAAAACAAATATAATACAAGTTTTCTTGCAACTATTCGTGTGATTTGTCTCAGTATATTGTCATGATGGCGGCAAGAATCATTTTAATTGTAATATGTAATTGTACACCCTCAAAAGAAATGTTTTTACAGTTGGAATAAATGCCCTTTAATGATGATGCCAAATATTGTCGATATGTGTTATCTATTAATGTACTCATGGTTCATCAGCTGATCATTATTCCAATTTCTTTCATAAAATAAGTAAAGATACGTAAAATACCGGAAAATCATGTCATAACAGCAACATTTGCTATCACTGGTATCGAATAAGAAATACATCCCCTCCCCCCCCCCCTCATCAGTACGCCAGCGTTCAGGGGCTCATGTCTTCTCACCCATATAACAAAAAAATAGACACGCTTTCCCATTATCGCACAATATGTCCACGATATGCGCGTATCGCTATTATAAAGACCTCCATTGATACCGTATAGGTGGCATGCGCAATGTTTAGGAAATTTAATTCCTGTGAACTTTCCTTTTCTTTGAATGGAATTGTATATGTGATTTAATTCAGGTTTTTATTATTGTTATGTTCTTTTGGGTTAAAAATACAAACCATGTTTACTCCTTTACTGCTTTTTTTTTTTTTTTGGAGGGGGGGGGGGCGTTTTGGGGGGGCAAAAATGGGTATTGCCCCCCCACTTTTTGATTGGGGGGGGGGGGGGGGCAGCTGCCCCCCCCCCCCTGCCCCCCCCCACTTCCGGCGCCTATGATTACAATAATGTGAAACGGGAACATATTAAAAAGAAAAAGAGGCACTTATCTGAAGTAGAAGGGGGGCAGTTTGGGGTACTTGAAAAAATGGGAGTTTTTTGTTTCGATTTTATCTTCAAAATATTGCCTTTTTCGTAGAGTCCTCAAGGGTATTTTAAATATGATAACATCAACATTGCAAGCTTTCTTTCTCTCTTCCCCTCTCCCTCTCGATCTATCTCTCTCTCTCTCTCTATTTCACCCCTCTCTCTCTCTCCCCCTCTCTCTCTCTCTCTCTCTCTCCCTTGTCCCCTCTCTGTCCATTCCTGACATATAACTTTTAAATATTTTTGTATAGAATAGAATAAAGAACTAAGTATTAAAAAGGAACCATTTCAAAACAAAGCAGTCATTTTTCACACATCACGCGATTACGCTTAAATGCTTCCACTTTAAACACTCAAACTGTTAAAATATACAATAGAAGTTGATTTATGTATTAGATTTATTCTCACACAGTCATGGGATACAATATTTAATGAATACAAATATAATGTAATACAATTTTCAATTAATTTTAACCCCATCACCTGTTACATTTTTGGTTTACTTCAAAAGTTTCTAGGAATAGTAAGTAATGATTTGAGCCTCATCAGCGTGGTTATGACATTATCTTTTAAGTGGTTAGATTTTGATGCAATAAATGCACTTATACATAATCCAATTGGCTTTGAAATATTATATTTTGCCTCAGCAGCATGGTTATGGCGTTATTTTTTAAGTGGTTAGATTATGATGCAATAAATGCACTTGCATGATCCAATTGGCTTTGAAATCTTACATTTCGTACTACACTGTAATTTCTGTCTTTCCATTATCACATTTTAAACTAATATTTTATTCCAAATATAAACTTTGCATAACCATGCGATTTTCACAACAAAAATTTTGCGTTGAGTGATCAGAATTGAACATATTATATGTTGAGAAAAAAATGGACTGTGTAAAATTATTATTGTTGTCCTTCAACACACTGTATATTGAGAAGGAAAAAAAAAATCACTTATCTACATTTTATTTCTTTAACAAAATGTCACTACACTGTGAAAAATTTGGGCAATATTATTTCAACACTTTGCCCAACGTTGTGCCAATAGTCAACCCAACCATCTATCGGGCAATATTTTGCCCAGTGGTATTGGTAAACGTAAGTACCCTACTTCACACGTGCATAGTTCTTTCGTATTTTGACCAAAATTTGGGCAAAGATAATGACCCCTCAACTGTCCGACTACGGTAGCCCATTTGTTGGGAAAATCTTGACCAGCTGTTGGGAAAAATACGAAAATATTGCCCAATAGATGGTTGGGTTGACTATTGGCACAACGTTGGGCAAAGTGTTGAAAATGTTGCCCATTTTTTTCACAGTGTAGTGTTTGTGTTTCCGGCCGGGTTACCTGTCATCTAGAACGCTTTGGACCGACACCATATAGCTATAACGTCTTAAAAGACCCATGCAGAATTTAACAATGGGATTTAACGACTTTTAACTTTTCAATATAAGAATTTTACATATACATGCAGTGAACATAATGTAAGGACTCATTATTGTATTAACATTGCCAAAGAGGATTTTGCCTATCACAGGGCTCGACACCAACGAGAGTTCGGTAAAAATATTTTAATTCTGGACCCCAGATTATTGAAATCTCAACAGAGGACCTACGTATATAGAACCTAAATATTTCATTCCAGGGGGGGGGGGGGGGGTTCACAAAGATTCTTAATGGACTTAAAAATTATGGAGAGCCATTTGTAGCCTTAACATAAAATACATTCAAAAGGAAAAATTCAGGTATTTTAGACTTAACATAAATTCCACATCAAGAACAGGAAATCTCCTAGATACTATGAATGATTTGAATCAACTTTTTTATGCCTTTTGAAATAACTTTCATAAAATGTTTTTTAAGATGCTAACGACTTTCCATAATTGTTAAGTCCAACTTAGAGATAGGTTCAACTTAGGATCAGTGTGAAACACTCCCCCGACCTACTGTGAAAAATGTGTGTGTGGAACCCTTCATATCACATGAAGATAGATGGCTTTCTGGTAATCCTTCATTACAATATGCATTTCACAGTTCATGCAATGTACATTATTTAGTATATGTATACCCGTAATAATTTTAAGCTAAACAAACATATGTGTTTTCCCTTTTCATTTGACATATCTTATTGTACGCATACATGAAGTAACATCCAACAGAGTCGGTAAAAAAAAGATAATATCAATAATATTATATTAAAACTTATACAACAAAAATATATTACGGGTAGATAGTTTGAATCAAATACATCACAATGTAAAAAAAAAGTCATAATGTTTGTTTTTTTAAACTTCAGAGCAAAAATGTCAGCAAAAGAATAATTATCTGAGGTTTTCAAATAACTTTATTCATATAGATGTGATGTTCAAACATATAAAAAACAATTGGAAGCAAGAATCATTTTACATGTCGTACATGTAATCTGAAATATCATTCTCCCCATTTTTAACACTTATTTGCATTCTATAAATCCTATTCATAATTCACATTGAGTGCCATTACTCGTAAGGACCGCTATTCATAATACGACATCGGGGTCGCTATTCATAAACATGAAGAAGGGGCGCTATTCATAATTTATATTGGGGGTCATTACTCATGTGGACCGCTATTCATAATACGAAATGAAGGTCGCTATCCATAATACGAGATGAGGTGAATAGCGACCCTCTTCTCGTATTAAGTATAGGGACCCCTACGAATTATGACCCATATTTTGAATCATGAATAGCGACCCTCTTCTTCGACTATGAATAGCGGACCTTATGAGTAATGACCCTTAGGAATAATGACCTTTTTCTCAAATTATGAATAGCGGTCCTTACGACCCCGCTAGAATACATTTGCATGTGCTATCTTACTTATAGTTTCACTGTTTCAGTTATGTTTTCAGCCACTTTCCAGAGATCATTATTATTATTTATTCGGCATTTCAAAAGAAAAAAAAGTCGTTCAACATATAAAATCAATAACAAAACATTAGATTGATCATGATGCAAAACAGGTGAAGAGGTTTTAACAGAGCAGACGGAGCTGCCTGAGACAAGAAAAGGTGAACTGAATTACTATGACCCTCAAGTCTTCTGTCCCACACCCCGTCAACTCTCTATCCAAATATGTACATAACATTAGAAGGGAAAGACAGCGAAACTTTAGTTTCTAAAAGTGAGTCACATTGCAAAGGGTTAGGGCGATATATTGAAAGTTGACATGATATGACTGGAATTGTTAATTAAGATACAAAATTATATACGCATATAAGATGAATTTCTTATAAATGTTATTAGATATGCCAGTTTCATATACCTAAAAGTGGGTATTGATTACTGCCTAGTGAGATATTCAAAAATATTAAAGTTATGAGGAACAGTTTTCAAAATATACATATCACAACAATTAATGAGTTAATATTTATTTCACCTCCTATCATTCAATTTGCTTATATTTATTAATAAGATTACAATTTCACCTTCTCTTTGAGAAGTAAACAATTTTTAGTCACCTTGTTTATAGTTGAGCAGAATTTACCTAGTTACAAAGATCCTTACATTTACATTCTACAAAACAAAAAAGACACAACTCTAAATTCTTCTGTTACAAAATTTTATCACATCTGTTCAGAATGGCAGTACCTGATTATGCTCCACTCTACGTTGCAAGTTACACACAATTTTTTTTCTAATGTTACATTTGTGCATGATATATGTTTTGTAACGTAAATCACGGTAAGAATAGCCATTTTTTATACTTCCAGATTATTTAGATTATTTGGTATTGGCGGCATACTTTAGAGTCCATTCTTTGGCCTGATCGTTGAAAAAATCTTTGTCATTTTTGTATATTCGTGCAATATCTGGTACGAGGGGGTCATCCAAGTTAGGGTCAGTTAGCATCAAGCAGATTGCTTCGAAAACTATAAAGACAAAACCAAAAAAGTCATCAACTATTTTTGCATACAGTTGCACGTTAGCTCTGCAATATCATTGCTGAAACTTGATCAATGCATAATTAATTATATAGACCAGAGTAACAGCTACAGAAGTGTCAAAGAAATAAAGATATATTTATAAATGAAAAACAAAACACATTTACAATACCAATACTAGAAATGCAATCGTGTCACAACGATGTGCGTGCAATGACGCCGTGTTTCTACGTGTCAAACGAAAGAGCTTCTCTCGCCCTATCCAGAGCAATTTGTACGAAGTATGTAGCTTCTGTGATATTGGAGATAGGTAGGGCGAAAGAAAGACCTCAACAGTGACCTTGATGGGATGGTAGTGACTATGCCTACGAAGTTTGACAAAAATTGGGATAGGGGAAAGAACGTAGAAAGGGCTCGCAAGCACTGCGTGCAAAAACCAAGGGGATTTGGTGCATGTTCGTCATTGCAATCAAGATCGTTCTGGGGGTCAAAAGCGTGAACCCGATATGCCCCATAGACAATGCGTGTAATGCCTGAGCGGAAAACGTACAGGATCTGTATTATGACCGGAGTTAAATTGTTTTTTCTCTCTCTCTTGTCTCTTATGGGCCGTATTTGGTATCATTAGAAAGAAAATTTCATGATTGTTATTGTAAACCACTCTCTTTTTTTCTATGATAATCCTATCGAAACACGTGATGTAATATAGATTTATAGGACAAAATGGCGTCTTAAATGGCCCCCTTGACCAATTTCAAAAATCCGGCCAAGAGGTGCCCTGCGTATTGGAACTCGTCATGTCACTGCACATTTTCAAGGAAAAAAAAGGACGTTAAGGGGCGAAAAGTAGTCTGAAAAAATGACGTCATAGTCGATACGTGTTAGATTCGGGCGGAAACTCGGCGGAATTCGTGTAGTGACCTTTGTTCAAATGCGATTTATTCACAATTTTCTGTGTGAACATATACTATACTTGGTATCATTCGAAAGGGCACTTCATTGCGGTCAGTTTGACACCATTGTTATCTTCGCGCAATGTATTGCACGCATTTAACGCGCTATCACGCAATGCATAGTAAATACATCATTTTTTTAGATAACTTTGCGCTGACATAATCAAATTTTACCAAACTTTGCGGACAGTTGTCACGTATATAAATACATGTGTGTGCCAAGTTTTATTGACGTAGGTCAAAGGATCGTAATTTTAGAGCAAGTTGAAGTTATTTGGAATTTTCTTGAAAATGGCGAATTTGGAGGGCAATTTTCTCAAATTTGGTCAGTGATAGGGTATATAATTTGTATATGGCTGGAAAGGGCATATCTTCAAGTATCTAAATCCAAAAAAGGGTACGGGTTTGCCAAGCCATTATGGAGATACGGCCACAGAGAGAAAAGCCAATTCCCAGAACTTTAGAGGGCGCTATTTATGTTGTGCAAAGTCATTGGAGCGTGAAATTTGGCATGGCTATGTGCAATTATGAGATAAGGATACTGTGAGATTTAAATACAAAACGGAATTTATATGAGAAAGTTATGGCAGTTTTAGATTATTTAGGTGTCAATTTTTCAAGAATTTGAGAGATAGTTGACGGAGTCGGTTTCAGATTTGAATTTTGAGTATGAAGATGGCATTTTGAAGGGCAGGTTATACGTCGCAGATAAAAGAACATCTCTTAGACTATCTAGAGGAATTTGTTAGAAATGTGTAGGATCTAGGATAGTGGAGATAGGAAGGAAGAAAGAAAGGCCTTAAAATGGACCAGAAACGGACAAAATGGCGCCTGGACGGTTATGCATGAGTGATTTCGAAAATCGAAGAATGTAGTGACCTTGAAGGGATGTTAGAGACTATGCCTATGAAATGTGAAAGGAAAAGGACATGAGAAAAGCACCTAACTAGGAATAACAAACATTACGTGCAAAACGAATGCGATTTCCTGACGATAAGGATAAGGAAAAGGAAAAGGAGGAAAAGGAGAATATTAATGGGGCAGAATGTGAACGAAAACAAGGCAATGACGAAGGTCGTCATTGCAATGACAGACGGTAGACTTGGTTGGAAGGTAAAGGGACTGGTCCTACCTGACCGATAACGGAAATAATCGTCGGAGTATGAGAGTGCAAACTAGTCCACATTTTTAATTTTACAATCCTGTGCCGATAATCAATTTTTAGAAAGTAAATTCTTTGTTGATTATCTGTCTGGAGCAGGGGCGGCGGTCCCTGGAGGGGAGAGAGGGGGGACACGTCCCCCCTTAATTTTTATAGGGGGATTGCCCCCCCCCCTAAAATTTGAAAAAGTGCAACAACAAAAATGTATAGCAAATTCTGACTCAACACACTTTAAGGCCCAGGAGGGCCCAAGAGTGCAGCGTTTAGACAAATAAAATGCAAAAATCTTCTCACTCGGTAGCTACGCTCCCTCGCATAATATCCTTCAAAATGTACTACAAGTAAATATCGAAAAAGTGAAGTGTGAAAAAAGTATATTGCTTGTTTTTATACTATAGTTTTGCTAAGAAGTGTAATTTTTTAATACAGCAAAACTTCAAAAATCTGTGAGGGGGTAGTAACTTTCGTCACCTTCATCCCTCTTATTCACTATTGCTCCCTCGCACTTACGTCATGATAGGGGGGGGGGGGGCTCTGGGGACATTTCTCCCCCAATGAAATTCAAACGTGCTTTATTTCTAATTCGATACCAGTGATTTACAAAATGTTGCTAAAATGACATGATTTTCCCGCCAGCTTCCGGGGGCTCTGCCCCTGGACCCCAATAAGGGCCCCAAGGCGGGCCCCTGGTTGCTCATCTGACCGTAATTAAATGCATAAAACCCCTGAGTTTCATGTGGCTCCGCCCCTTGACACCTGCCCTGGACCCCACGCCAATTTACGCTGCACTTTGCTTTGCTTTACGTGATCTCAAATACTTTAGCCCCCCGGCCCCCCACACTTTGGAAAACGTCCCAGGGCCTGCGTAACATGTAAGAGTGGTGGTGATGCGGATTTTTTTCTTTCTCTCCCCCCCCCCCCCCCAAAAAAAAAAAAAAAAAATTATCATTATTATGATTATCAATTTCAAATCAATTCTTATCGGTTCCGAACCTCACCTACAATCAAATATCAAGTGTATTTGAAGGACTTCATGGACAAAATGAAACTTGCAATTCTAATCTGGGAGAGACCCATAATACATACCTTGTGCAATAGTGACAGTTGGTGACCACTCTGATATGAGGATATCTAGACAGATCTTGCCACTGCGGTGTATATTTGGATGGTAGACTTTTGTTGTGAAAACAACCTATGGGTAGGAAAGAGATTTTACCCAAAATTTGATAGTATGTTGCCTTGTAAATAATGTACTTACCTTCTTAAGTTCATACCTATAAAGACATTTCATGAATTGCTTAGACTAAGATTCATGTAACTATCAATTGTCGACTGCTTCTTAAAGCCTTTAAGGCCCCCCCCCCCCAACAAAAAAAAAAAAAAAACATGTTTAGCGTCCTGCCTTTTTGAAAAATAGGAAGGATGCGGCCCTTTTTTTTCTTCTTTTTTTTTTCCTTCAAAATGGCCGCTCAAAATGGCCGATCGGTACATTTTCCCTGACGGTCGGGCTATTTTTCAAGAGGCCGCCGGCATTTATTTATTTATTTTTAAAAATCAGAAATGATCCATTTTAGCAATGTTTTTCATGTTTTTTTTTCTTTAAAAAAAAATTAAATTTAAAATTTGAAAAAAAATGAGGCGGCCCCCAAAAATTAAGCGGGAGGGGACGCTAAACATGTATATTTAAAAAAAAAAATGTTTATTGCCTCTATAATAGTACAACATATTTTTTGATGAAAAAAAAAAAAAAAACTTTTTCTTACAAAGGTTGGTATTCATGAATACTGAGTAAGTTGCACTCATAAACCAGCTTTAGATTACATTCAGACCATTGATGTATGGATGTAGAAGTGGTGTAGCTGAACTGCCGAACCAAACGAAAGCAACATCGGGTACACATTCACAAAACGAGATCTCACAGATCAAATTTTAAAAAGGTGTTTATTTTGGTGAAAATCAACTCACTTCCATTTCAATGGCATTTCAAAGTTCTCCTAGACAGCCCAAAGAAGTAACGATGTTCATTAGATAAAGAAGAGTTTCATCATGAAAATCGACTCAAATTTATTATTTCCCTTTTCGAACTTGAAGTTCTTTGAGATTGCCAAAGAAGTTACAATGTTCATTAGATAAAGACGGATTGCATTGATTGCCTATCATCAGGAATAGAAAACCTCCTTTTTGCAGTGTGATCATTCAACCATGCCGCCCTCTATGCGCCATTTTGTAAAATCACATTATTCGGCTCACCATCAATTCATTTTCGATCCAAAATCCTTTAAGACGCCCAGAAGAAGTTGTTTGTTATAGATAAATAAGGGTTTCCTAATAAGAATCGACTCACCTTCGATTCATTTGCGTTCAAAAATTCTTCAAGATGGTCACAAGAAATCATGACATGTGGTTCGTAACGTAAGGGACAAAAATGGACTTTCCATTTAGTGAATTCTAAAGTCAGTGTGAATAATTCTGATATAATCTTCATCTTCAAATTTCACTTCACTGGAAGATACCACATGTACCATCAAATAAGAAATACATGTTACTGATTCTTTTTAAAATCATATCCAAACTTGGCCTTCAGACAAACATAACAACAGTTTCATATTGTGGACGTAGCCTACTTCACATCAACTGATATAAAACAGATTACCATCTCACTTTCAAAAAATATCTCATAAATGCATTAAATTTTACTTATCTTGTAATGCAGCATATTTTACCTTTACAGTTTAAAACCCATTTAAAATCTGTTAAATGTAAGAAATAATTGTTGTGCATTCATTTTTACCTTGGGAGGCATGATGGGGTAATCTTCAGGAAATTTTATTGAAAGGAAAAACACGCCACCCTTATATGGACTGCCAACCTGTATGGAAAAACATGGAGAAAAAAAAATGAAGAGAAAATTATTAAAGACAAATATGTTTTGCAAATAAATCTTACATCTGGAATATACTGGAATATATCATGAAAGACCTTATCAGAAGTGAAAAATGAAATAGATGAATTATATATCAACGAAAAGCTTATAAGCCATAGCTAACAATAATATCAATTACACCTGAGTGTATAGCTATTTCAGTGTCTGTCAGAGGAGTAACAGCTCGCTAATAACTCGAAATCTAATGATTTGAAAGTGGAGTACGCATATATCCGACCCCTGTTGACCCGTAATCTGGAGGGGAGCGAACAATGAGGTTTTAATTTGCTTTTGTGCAATACTAAAGGGGATAATATTTTCTTTTTGCTTTTATTTGTATTCTATGTTCATTCAGCTTTCCATTGATATAAGGTTTTATTTTCATCAGATAGGGTTTTTAAAACAATAACAAAAGTTGCAATACTTGGTAAGAGTATGAGTAACTTTAGTTGGCAAGTCCACTCCAAAAATAACTTACGTTCAATAGAAGCAGAAAAATCAGACAAACCAATCTAAAAAAGTTTGAGCAAAATCGGATAACTAATAAGAAAGATATGATTTTTTTAATGACATGAACAACCTTGAAAATCACAAGACAAATTGGCAACTCACTCATACGTCTGTGACGTCATTGCCTGATTATCCACTAATTGTTTTCTTTATATTGATGATATAAATTTCCAATGTCCCCCCTAAATTTTTTATTTCCTCACACCACTAAGCATCCAAGTTATATTGATATTAATATGTTTGTGTGTGGATGCACTAATATAGAGTAATTTTGTTCAGTTAAATCATGAAAAATGTGAATTTTGATAAACTATTTATATAAAAATCAATGATTATAAATGTACAATATTCAGAAAATAGTATCAAATCTTCAAAGTTCATAAAAGATTTTGTGAAATGTCATGCATGCAATATGATACATATCATAATTATAACCTGGGCAAAGGCATGGGAAATCAATTTTTTGGGATAAAAAGGGAAATCAATGGGATAACAAATATATAAAGCGATTGATAAATGGTAAGGCAATGACGTCACAAAGTGATAACCAAATTGGCAATTTGTGTAGTAATTTTCTAAGTTCCATAGTTTTTCATACTTTTAACAACATTCATAACTTCCTTATTAGTTATCCGATTTTACTCGAATTCTTTTGCTCTCTTTATTTTCTGCATCTATGAAAAGCAAATTATATTTTGGAGTGGACTTAGCCTTTAATACTGTACATGTATATCATTAATTGCACAATTCTGTTTAACTTCTGTGTAATACTTGATTGTTTCTACAAGAACTACAAGAACATAAGCTAGGACACCGAGGCTAAGAAGTGAAGCTCTTTCTAGCATAACTTCTTGAAGGTTAAATTATATTAGGTATATAGTCTTCATAGATTAATGTGTCCGGGCCAATCCAGGTAATAGATGACTATTTTTTAATTTGAATTCTCTTACAGGCAGTCCCAGTACTATTATAAACTTAAAGCTTATCAACACTAGTGAGGCTAGGAGGGATTAGACCACACAGCGATGTCACTGACAGGTGCCTATCTCATCAACTCAGCTCTCAAATAACATAAGAAATAGAGTATCATGGGGGACCAACAGGCACCGATTGGGGAAGTTTTCTATATAGAGGGAGCAAGTAGCTACAAGTAGGACAGTGGGGCTTTAAGGCTTGTACAATTCAAAACAATTCAAGGTATGTATTCACTCATTGTAGCCAAATGCTAAATTAAAAATGAATTTACAAAATTGAAAACATTAAAAACATCATACAAATTAACAAGAATCATACACAATATTCTGCATATACATTGTGATGCAGGAAACGGCAGCAGTTTATTTTTTAATGTTTGAGTGAATTGCAAGTCAAGATGAAAAAATATGTTTTTTGTGAAACATAAGCATACTTACTGGACCCATTATTGTTCCTTGCCAATGGGTCACTGCAAAGAAGAAACAAAACAATTTACTCACAATAACAATATCTTTCTTTTCGCTCATAAAGTAATAACATTACTTGAAATTGCCAGAACCAAAATAAACGCGAAATAGTACTGTTGACATTAGTTTGTAACGATGGTTCCCCAGCACCTTTAACAAAAATTAATCCAGCGCTCCATGGTCATTGCACGAAACAGAAAGGTTCTAACAAGGGATACTATCGGACCAACAAGAATATCAGGCAATCTTATAATACACGTGTTTTGTTGATGATTTTCCTGACCGTATTACAACATTTGTTTTATATCTTCATCTGCTAACAGTGTATGAATCATTAGGTGGTTTTTCTACTTGAGATTATAATGCCTAACAAGCGTATTGACCCGTAATGCACATCTCATTACCAAGTCGGTAATAATTATACTACTGAATATAGTAATTGATAATAACAACAATAATAATAATAATAATAATTTATGGATTTATTATCATTTTAAGATTTAGGCCTACTATGGAATAATCATATCAAATAATTTAGCTTCATATTTTGTAAAATGGAATCTGATATTATCTTTATAACCACCCTATATACCGTGGCTTACTCATTTATTACCTCATTCATTATGTTTATCATAATTGTTTATCACTGTCTCATGTTTCATGTATATATTTGATTGTATTACTCTGTAACCAGTGGAAACCAAATTTCTTGAAAAGGACAATAAATTATTATACTTATACTTATACTTATGAGAGGCGCGGCAAATCACGCCATTCATATCTGAACACTAACAAAATCAAAAACAATTGGGGGAAAGGGGGGGGGGGGGGTTGCCGCTTCATATTTGAACGGGCGTTAAGAGTGTAGATAAAGCATCTGAGGCTGGCCTTCTCTTTGTACATCTACATGTACACTGTTGGTCATAATGGTGGAATAATTATTTTTACCCCAATTTATTGAATGATTTTGACAATGATTTATTCCTAATAGATCTAGATATTAGTATACATCCTCAGATTTTATTGAATGACAATTGGGGAGTGTTTTTCTTTGCGTGACTGCTAAAGCATGTGTGTGCTACAATGCTAATCAACTAGGGGACCTATGTCCTTAAGTCATAACTGACAGAAATGGGGATTAATACCTCATAAAAGGGCACTAATATAGCACATCGACACGGTTTTGATCGTTGGGGCTCACAGTAACGAGGTCATTGCTTAGCCAATGAATCATGACTGCACGCAGCGGGCGCTAGGGTACGTCGACGCCCCCACAAAAAAAAAAAAAAAAAAAAAATGCAATAAATTTTCAATAATTCATTGCATTTTGCCCCGACCCCAACATAAAAAAAATCTTCTACGCGGGCATGCCTTGCACCATAATGCATGGCCCTACAGAGGAATTTTTTTCAATCGGGGACTGGGGGGAAATGCAATGAATTATTGATAATGTATTGCATTTTCTTTGTTTTTTTGTTTTTGTGGGGGCGTCCCCGTTGCTGTCAGTTATGACTTAAGGACGTATAGTCCCCTAGTTGATTAGCATAGTAGCACACATATGCTTTAGCAGTCACGCAAACCAAAAACACCCCAATTGTCATTCAATAAAATCTGAGAATGTATACTATTATCTAGATCTATGAGGAATAAATCATCGTCAACATATTCAATAAATTTGGGTAAAAATAATTATTCCACCATTATGACCAACAGTGTATAAACACAGACAATCCCACTTTCTTCTGTATTGGTATGCTCACTTCGCTGTGAGGAAATGGAATTAACTTGATTTTCAAAAGTAGGTCTACTTACTATCATCACCAACTGGACCAGCAGAGCAGTTATTTGGGGGTTTTTGCCAAGATTTTAGTTCCTAAAAATGGAAGGAAAAAAGTGAGCTTTTGTTGTATAGACTATTTGATCAATGTTATACTTATTTATGCTCCCTCCACTAGAGAAGGCACAATCAAACAAATAGCCCCTCTCTCTTGTTCACACAAGAAAAGTTGCGTGTTTTCTTCCATGAAACTTAGAGGGCATAATTATAGTTCAATTATTTCCTTCTGATTGCGCAATCATTTTCATCTGTCCCACTGGAAGGGTATAAATATGGATATTTTACAAGAAATTGAAGACTCCCGACTATGGATCTGGTTAATCTGCTTTTTCGCTGATAACCCAAGATCTGTTTGAACTCACCGTGTTTGGATTGTCTTGTTTGGCCGACTACAGAATCATGTAAAATTTTCAAATCCGAAAAAGCCATGCAGTGTAAAAAGCGCTTAGAGTGTAACTAAATGCATACCCCGCTGTCTAGCCACCGTGTCCTAATTGGAAAGAAAATCTACTACGGATAAGCTTTTAAAATACATGGTTGGCAAAAGCATGTCCAAGAATATAATTATACACAGTCTAAACTGTCTTTGTCAGTAGCAGCCTCTCAATTGAGGCCACCCAGTGGCGTAATGAGCAAAACTGTTTTTTTTTTTTTTTGGGGGGGGGGGGGAGGGGAGGGGGAGGGGCAGAAAAAGAATCCGCTTTACCACCACTCTTACATGTTACATGCTGGCCCCGCGGAACGTTTTTCAAAGTGTTTGGGGGGGGGGGGCTTAAGTATTAACGATCAGGTTAGAGCGTAAATTGGCGTGGGTCCACCATCCATGGGCAAAGCCCTGACGGGGGGTCACGGGGCGTCTGAGTCCCCCGAAGCTCAGGGGTTTTGTGCATTTAAGTAAAGGTAAAGACCAGTTATGGTCATGCGATTCCATTGTGAAAGAAACGTTGTGGAATCGATCAGAAAAGGTTGATCATCTAGCATATAAGTATTGGTGTGTACTAGCTGCAAGGTTCTGGAATCATAATTGCTGAATGAGATGGAATGTTCAATCTAAGGGCTTGTTGTGCTCTATGAAAGGAGCACACAATGGGGGCAGTGCAATTTACATTTCAAGGCATGGGCGTCAATCCTTACGTAATACCAATTGTTCAGGGGGGGGGGATGAATGAATAGATCATCCCCCCCCCTGAACAATAGGTATCAATTACAGATCTACGTTTCAAGGGGTGGATTAGCGTTTGTATCGCTAACGACGGCTATCCAGGGGCCCTAAGGCGGACCCCTGGACCCCATTATTAAAGATAGAAGTGGTTCCCAAGACAACCCGCTGTTGTTTACAATTGTCCTTAGGAGAGATTGAGTGTGAGTTTTAGGTAGTTTAAAGGGCCACTCTAACCCAACTAACATAGCCTTTCAAAACATGAATACACCTCTTCTTATTAATATTCCAGCCTCTGATTTTTCAGAAAATCTCTAAATTGACCAAAAAGAGATAATAGCCATCCATTTTACACAGTTCTCATGCTTGTTGGACTACACCCTTCGAAAAAAGGGTAATACGGTAACGTGGTTTGATGACGCATTTAACGTCATTGCGGGCATGTCCGATTTGATAATTTCATAATATCATAATTAGGAATGACGAAATTGCCAAAAACGTACTGGGATTATCAGGTGCATATTATTTTTTCGGATAAATGTCTTTTTTTTTCTTTAATAAATATCATAGTTAGCCGTTTTAAAGACATTTTAATGCCTACATCACCCTTCATTTCACCGGAGAGGCATCTGCAGTGACGTAAAATGCGGCATCACCGACACTGGGCTTTTTTCTGCGCGTTCTGAGTCGTCATTTTTAAAGCTAAATTCCAGAATTATTGATGTTTTCTAAGAAAAATCGTTGTCATGTTCGGAATCTCCCTCAAAAATTATACTACATGTCTTTTTTCCATTCATTTTAGCCCGTTTTGATTAGAGTGGCCCTTTAAGCTTCTAAAAACCACTCCTGTGGACTTTGTTTTTATCAGTTTACACAATAATTCTTGCTGTCTGCTGCCTCGAGATCATTTGAGCGACTTAGCGAAGAAAGGTAACAATGTATAGCAAGAGTCCCTATTCGGTGAAGGATAAATCCTATTTATCCAGACGGATAACTCAATAATGTCGGCATCATCCCATTGAATGTTGTGTCCAGTATTAAAGGAAGTGTATCATGGGAATTACTGGTTGACGCCATCTACGTCTTCTTTTAAACAACTGCACGTAAACGAATGTAGCTAGCCTATAGTCTGCAAGCACAAACCCTGGTCAGTCGTAAAAGTGAGTCTGCACTATAAGACTACCATAGGCCATGTACTGAAGCTGCTCCTGACACAACCTTCTTCTTCTTCTTGATTTGTTTTTGTTTGGCAATCAGTCACAGTTGACTATTTTTGCCACACACTATTTTATGAATTATTTATATATATACATATATGTACAATTTCATGTCATAAATGACTATTTTTAGGATTCTTTCTCCTTCCATCCTCTTTCCTTCCTCTTTTTTTCTTTTTAGACTCTATAACTTTTTTTAGAGAGAAAATTCAATAAATTAATAATTTTGGAAAGAGACGACGGCCTAGCAAGTTGTGAATAAAAAACGCCTATAAACCAGTAGGTAGCTGGGCTAGACTTCTCTCAAGGCACAATGATTTGTTGATAAAGTGTCAAATTAGGGTCTGTGCCTGCAGACTAGCTAGCCTACTTGATTAACTGGGTCAGCGCGCGCTAAACTGGGTTATGTTCGCGAAACAGACCGAAGTTCTCCTCACGCTTCGGTTTCACGTATGTTGAAAGGACGTGAATGCTGCGGTCGCATCGTCCGTAGTCGTATTATACCCGATTGGCCCCGAGTAGGGCCACAGGAAAGACACATAGTCTCGTCATGATATACTCCCTTTAAGGGCGTGGTTGTTTTGCTGAAGTAGATGGAATGTTCAATCTAAGGGCTTTTTGTGCTCTTTGAAAGAAGCACACAATGGTGGCAGTGCGATTAATTTCAAGGCAAGGATTAGAGTCTCTAGTCAGCAAAACAGACACACCCTTAAATACTCAGTATTTTCTATAGCATCACGATAACATTTTGCATAGGGGCTGATGCGAACGTAGTTTGCTGACAAGATAGGCATTAGGGACTTTTAGATTTGCGTGGCCTGATACGTGTGACGTCCATTCAAGGCAATGCATTAAAAGGACGTCGATCGTAGCAATCCACGTTGTCGTTGTGCAAATCTAAAAGTCCCTATTATCTTGGCTATCCAGAACGCCAGCCAAAAAAAAGGGGTGGAGGCACATACATGGATAGATTCTGTATAATTGTTTAGGCTTGCTATGATGCACACCATGTTATAACTTTAAGAGCGATTTGAAGGATATTCAGAGAATGAAGGGGATGCTGAGAACATTGGGTTTTTTTTTTTTTTTTTGTATTCAGAAAATCCAATTGTTCATTTAAATCAGCCAATGACCCAAATAAAACTTTGAAGAAAATGGAAAGAAGACCCTGCTTACAGGTCTTCCATGATTATGGGAACGATGTGGGTTTTTTTTCTCCAGACGAGTTAATGATGCACAATATTTTTCCTTTTTGAAAAAAACAGTTGGATATATCAAAAATACATGCAGGTTGGGGAAAGAGTCTTTTCCCTCATCATAAGTAGATTTTAATCACCAAGACACGATTATAATGCAATTTTTTTCCTAATTTTGAAGAAAAATTATGGATAAATGCAGCATTATGCATTTACTGTGGGGGTAAGTGTGGGAGAAATCTTGGAATGATTGAGTCCCTATATTTGGTAAAGTGTACATCCTGGCACATGCTGGATTGGTTTAAGAACGTTTCACCAACCCCCCGCCATCCCAATTTGAAAGTAAAAATTTGAGATTAAAAATTACCCAGACGTGTTTAAAACGCAAACTAGTTCTGAATTTTTGAATAAATTAAGGCATAAGACATGAAGACAATGTTTATTATGGAAATGGGTGTGGGATGAATGTTTGAGAATTGAATCACAATGTATGATGCACAATTATTATTTTTTTAAACAAAAGTTAAAGAATGCATTTGTGTACATTAGAAAATGAAAAAGTTATTCATACGATTGAATTTCATGACCAGATTCAAGAATATTCAATATGAAAAAAAGGAAAAATCGCTCATTTGAGTTTTGAAGTTTTTTTTCGTTAAATGCTAGGATAAAATGTTTATCAAACTTTTGAGTAGACGTGGTGTCAATAAACTGTATTCTAATGGTTGTAAGATAAGAAATTTTTCTTCCAACTTAGCAAATAATTTATTTTAATTTGAAAGAAGAAAGGTACCAGCTATATTAACGCAACTAAACACAAATTAAAGGAGGAACACCTTAGAGATCAGTCTTCAGGGGCAAATCTGATATGTAATATTATTCATTTCTATATGATTTTTCTTCAATAATGGAAAAGAAAATACATTTTTAGCTCAGACTTGATATCAGCATGTATTAAAAGGAATTTACACACGCTCCGGCATTCTGCCCCGGCCCCCCCCCCCCCCCACTCCGGGGTCGGAATGACCGCATGCGTGTTACCAAAATGTCCGGTAAAGGGGTACTTTTCGTGCGACAAAGTCCGGCCCGAGAATCGTAAAAAAAGGGGTGTATTAACTTTTCACCCGGAGATTTCTTTAAAAAGGGGATGTTTTTTCTTTTTTTCTCTCATTTATTTGGACACCTGAGAAATTATTCCGAATTTAGGGGGGTACATTGAGCATTTTTCAGGATTTAGGGGGGTCTCCAAGGCAGGAAAATCCCGCGAAAAGCCCGCGAAAGGGGGGTTCGGAAATGTTGGCAGTCCTCAGATAGGGGGTGCTTTCAAAAAGAGGGAACAAGCATATGCGTACCCTAAATAACACTGAGTGGGGGGCCGGGCATTCTGCATGGTATTCTGAAAAAATTACTTGAGGATTCACAAGACCGGTATGTCAGGTTTAATGGGCATTCTGACAATTTGCCTGAGGGTTCAAGAGACCTACATTGCTGGTTTCGTGGGCTGTCTATATAATCCCAGCTATTAAAATCACAATCAGGATTTGTTTAGTTATCTTTCTTTGATTATGCTGAAATACGCTAAAAATTTGTCTTTACCATGACAAGATTTTACTAAGCGGTCAGATGGAGGGGGTGCCAACGAATAGTGTGTGTGTGTGGGGGGGGGGGGGGGGGGGGAGGAGGCAACTACCAATGCCCATATTTCCTGAAACATCACATAGTACAGAAGGAGACTTATGAATTGCCTTCAGCATTCCAAATCATTTGAACTTTCTCCACTACTAATTAATGTCCAATCACTTTTGTCCAGTTAATAAACCGAGATACTGGTCAAATTAGAGGGGGAAAATATTTAAAACAAATTAAGCACCTTTTTGGCTCAAAATTGATATTTAACCCACTACATAACTCAATGAAATTGATATCAACTTGAAGGTATTTTAAGTATCCATCTTTTGACACCATATCCATGGGTGATTAGAGATTTTATTTAAAACTTATCTTTAAAACTCGATGTAAACACACCAAACACGTCCACAATACAATAATAAACGTAATATATGCATACAGTTAGTAAACATGGGGGCAAATTTTTTTTCTTTTTTTTTTTTCTTTCTTTCTGGAAATCAAACCAATAACTTTGAGTTGCTATAACTTTTCACTGAAAAGAGACATAGGCCTCTCCTGTGCAAAGGATATTGTCCTTGTACATGGGCAAATTCCTAGAAAGTTACCAAAAAGACACCTCTCCGATTATGACACAATTATGGAAAGTAACGGTTTTTGATAAAATACGATATTTCCAAAACAAATCACAAAAATATGGGTTTTTCTTTAATGTTCGATATCCATTAACCCATTTCTGTTTAAATTGGTATTAAAATATGGACAATTTAATTCTATTTCATGTGTCACCACATTAATGGTGGTTTAAGGTTTCCTTAAACTAATATTCACAAAATCCGATTTAGGGGTGTACGCTACAAAAAAAAAAAAAAAACCTCTGAAATATTGTGTATTATTATAAAATCTTTCGAATGACAAGGTGTGCTTAGTTTGTGTGGTAGCGGCAAGCAATTACAAAAACTAAGCATGATATTTGGCCCTTTTAATTCTTCAGATCTTCAGGATCTAATGAGGATTTCTTTATCAGAGGTCTAACTATGGCATTCTTAAAATTGAATGGAAAGGTACCAACTTCCAACGACAAATAAATTATATTTGTTATAACTGGAACCAAGAGATCAAGATTCTTCCCTATCAACCAAGTAGGTAACGGATCTAACTCACAGGACTTTGATGGCGATGACAAACTTCAGCGCATGATGCAGGCGAGAAATTTTCTAAAATTAACGTGTGCTCTGAGGGTTCAGAGACTGTCAGGTTACCAGGTTGTCCTCTTAAAGATCTAAGTGCTTCACAGATAATACATACTTTGGAAGGAAAATATTGACTTAATCTATAGTGGCTAGCACTATTTCACTGGCTCTTGTGAAATAGAGAGTTAATAATGTTGAAGAAGCTTCTTGATACTTACCTCTGCTATTCGTTTTGACCGTTCTGACGCCATATCGGAAGATCATGAACACAAAAGCGAGAACCTGATGTTTTCTGGATGCAATGAACAAAACCTCCGGATCTTTTGAGGAATAAATAGGCCTATAGCATATCCAAAGGTTTGGAGCTAAATGCTCATAATCGAAGAAATGTATCAGTCATGCTCTGTGCACACAAGATATTTAGTTCAGGCTATAGAGAACAAGTAACCTTGTTTTTTGTTGTATAATAGCATTCGCGCATACAAGCCACACTTTACAAAGAAATGCCAGACTTTTGAGAGAGATGTGAAAGGTATGTCTTCAATTTATTGAGGTTCAATCTAGACTCCTCAAAAAGGCTGCTCTCTACATATAACATTGATAGTGATATAAACATGACAGTTGTAGACATATATAAACATTGTCCAAGGCTATTATGACATTAATTTTGTTGCCCATGATGACCATTAACGTGGTGTCAGCATGGAAATTAAACATCCAGTAAAATACCTGTTTACAAGCACTTGGCACTTTTCTTCAAGAAACAAGACTGTTGGCATTTACCGAAATTGTTAACTCTTCTAAATCAAATGTTCCTTCTTTTTTCTTTTATTAAACAACAGGCGCGGATCCACGGGCCGATTCTACCGGCCCGGCCCCCCCCCCTAGCCTCCCAAACCGGTAACAATTAGGATAGTAACGTAAATTTTATCTTTAAAAAAAACAAAGAAAAACGCCCCCCCCCCGACCTGCCAGTGACACAAATGCGGCATCAAAATATTTGTGCTTCTCTGACCGTAATTAAATGCCTAAAACCCCTGAGCTTCCTGGGGCTCCGCCCCCTGAACACCCCACACCAATTTACGCTCGCTACCCTCTACCTGATCGTAAATACTTTAGCCCCCCCCCCCCCCACTTTGATGTTCCGCGGGGCCTGTGTATATAATATATACGCATACAACACTGATATTTATGATGTCTTTAACGTGACATATCTTCTTCTCCCCTTGCAAACGAGAAAGAAAACAAGGTCATTAAAAGGGATTAAGCGACAAATAATTATTGTGATTCTGATGCGAATATTTTGCTTGAATAACTTAATTGCTATTCACCAGAATCTTCTTTGTAAAAACAACTTTTACAAATCTCAGCAATGCTTACTGAGTTGAGACGTTCCATTCAATTTAAAATACTCATTAAAGAATACACTTCTCCTAATCTGAAAGTGATCTTACAACACAGTGGCAGAATTGCATGGCTGAGATTTGTAAAAGTCGTTTTTACAAAGAAGATTCTGGTGAAAAGCATTGCTTATACCATGGACCTATTACGTAATAGGTCCATGCTTATACAAAAAAAATCCTTGCATCAATTTGAATCACAATGATCATTTTGTCGCATGATCCTTTTATTAAATAACCTTGTTTTCTTTTTTATTGCAGGGGGAGAAGAAGCTATGTCACGTTAAGAAATCATAAAGATCAGTTGTATTATGCGTATATACATAATTATGATAACAGAACAAAATGTTGATTATCAGAATGTCATTTTGGAATACCTCTATACAAATACCCGATCTAAATGTGCCGATACCACATTGTCTTTAGCCCGTATCAGTATCAGTATCAGTATCTGTTCACATTATAGGTGTGATAAACATATTATTTTGGCACACACCTTGGCCCGAACTCACAAAAATTAATGAGGAAGCAAATTACTCCTGTTTTGCCATTGGGCAGTGTTGATAATAATGCATGCTTGTTGTATTTCTTTAATATATCACACGTGAGACAAGTAAACGCTATATTTTATGTTCCTTATCATTACATCCACTCAGTGGCGTACGCAGGATTTTTTCAAATCGGGCCGAAAATTTCGCAACGACTCAGCCAGCCGCTGAATAACCGGGGCGGGGAGGGGGGGGGGGGGTAAGAGGACACTTTTGTTTTTATAATAAAAAAAAAAAAAAAAGGGGGGGGGGGTTTAGGGGGGTTTTCCTCAAAAATACACACATAAAATTACCAAAGGGGGGGGGGGGGTTCAACCCCCTACCCCCCCCCCCCTGCGTACGCGCCTGCATCCACTGTGCTTTCATTAATACAATCTCAGATGCATTTCAACGCCTACAATTTAAATCGTATGTGTACAATCAGCATGCAAGTAACGATGAACACAGAAAAGTATAAATCTATACGTGTATTTAGACTTATATTCAATACAAAACTTGTTTTTCAAATTTAAGTACGCCTACTGCTCGTAAAATTTTATTCACTTTGATATTGCAGTTTGTTTCATGATTTGCAGACAGGGGCGTAGACAACGGGGGGGATGAGGGGGATGCATCCCCCCCCACCTCACAAGGTGGGGGGGATGGCATGTACAATCATCCCCCCCAGGTTTTGGGAAATGATATTTGCTTACTTAATAAGTCATAATGATGATGATAATAATAGTAATAATATTAATGATAACAATTATAATATTAATAATAATAATAATTATGATGATGATAATAATAATCCTCATCATTATTGTAATTGTGTTTATTGTTATTAGCCGCATTCACACGGTGAAAGCCAATTCAGACGGTAAAAAAAAGAAAAGAAAAAGGTTATCTTGTGGTTTGGAAACCACAAGATAACCACAAGATTAAACAGGCGCGGATCTACGGGGGGGGGGGGGAGGTTTAGGGGGTTTAAACCCCCCCCCCTTGGTCGGCCCAAAAAACAAACAAAAAAAAAAAAAAACAAAAAAAAAGAAAGAAAAAAGAACGCACGCTGGAGAGAAACCCTTTCAAGTGCAAATATTGTGAGAAGATATTCAACTCATCTGGTAACTTAACCAAACACATGATAACTCTGGATATAACTGTGTATTTAACTGTTACTTGATTTAAAAAGACGTTATCATGCACTGCTTTTTATGGTCTCCATTGTGTTAATAGATGCCAGGAAAACATCACTTACGGGGTTCAAATAAACACCCCCAAAAAAATCGGCTCGCCGCTTCGCGGCTCGTGGACGATGCTCCGCATCGTCATTATTTTGGTCAACCCCCCCCCTTAGCAAAAAGCTAGATCCGCCCCTGAGTCATCCCCCCCAGGTGTACGAACCTGTCTACGCCACTGTTTGCAGATAATGGCTGCTTTGCACACAGTCCCTCCAGCTAAACAGGGTGTGGCATTCTATGCGTCATTTCAAGAAAGAAATGAAGCACTATAAATTCCTCATGGGGAAAACTCGGTGAGCTGTTTACATGATTTCTCAAAGTACATGCAGTGGCGGATCCAGGGGTGGGCCGAAACGGCCGCGGCCCCCCCTATTGGCGAAGCAAAAAAAATTGAGAAGGAAAAAAGAGAAAGAAAAAAAGAAGGGAAAAAAAAGGGGGAAAAAGGAGAAGATAAAAGAAAAGAGAACAAAAAAGTAAAGAAAAGAGAGAGAGAGTTCAAAAAAGAGGAAAGAAAAAGAAGAGAGGAGCCGGGGAGAAAGAAAGACAACGAAATGGCACTAAAAAATAGTGACAGTAACGACGAATAAGGGAAAGACAAGGGGAAGGGGGTGCGTGAAGGCGGATGTATTGAGGGGAGGGGGAGGGGGAAGGGGTGACTGGCCGTATTCTTATTTTTAGGTTATGCGAAACTGGGTCGAAATTATGCTTCTTTTCAAAACAATCTTAGCATGCTTGTTTATGTTAAGCCGGAGTGCATGAAAAGGTTAGTGTAGAAACACTTCTGAAAAGGCCGCGCCCGGCCCCTCCAAAGAACGGCAGAATGGTAATCTATAAATTATGGGGTCATTCTTGATGGCTTTGGAGTCGTTATTAAGGAGGGGGCCGGCCCAACTCAAATGGTAGTGACCGTAACGATGGATAAGGGAATAAGGAGGAAGGGATGCACATGCAGGCGCGTACGCAGGGGGGGGGGAGGGGGGGGGGGAGGGGGAGGGGGGAGGGGGGGGGGGGAGGGGGGGGGGAGGGGGAGGGGGGAGGGGGGGAGGGGGGGGGTCGAACCTCCCTCACATTTTTGTCAAGTTGTCAAGTTGGTCCTGATGTGTATAATGCGTAGACCAGGGGTTCTCAAACTTTTTCTTTGACGGTCCAGAAGCGATTTCTATGAAAGCTGTAAGGTCCGAAATGACACTTGTTAAATGAGAATTGTTACAGTTTAAAAAAACAGAACCGCTAGTGCTTCCACTCGTTTAAATAGAGTTTCCTGAAAAAGAACACCCAATATCCTGGAATTTGAAAGAATTTTCTTAAAACTTTCAAAATGCCTCTTACTTGGATTTCTTATTTGGATGAATCGCTATGAGTCTCAACTCAGTAAGCATGACTGAGATTTGTAAAAGTTGTTTGTACAAAGAAGATTCGGGTGAATAGCAGTGCTTATTCAAACAAAATAATATTCGCATCAATTTGAATCACAATCATTATTTGTCGCTTAATCCCTTTTAATGACCTTGTTTTCTTTCTCGTTTGCAAGGGGAGAAGAAGATATGTCACGTTAAAGACATCATAAAGATCAGTGTTGTATGCGTATATATTATATACACAGGCCAGTAACAGCTATGTAGCTTGTAAATTTGTAAGAGGGAAAATGCTGATTGGAATGATAATGATGAAATAGCAAATAATTGAGGAGTATCATACATGTAGGTACCAATTCAATGGATATTTGTATAAAAAAGAGCCCCCGTCAGTACTAAAAGAGCCCCCGTGAGAAGGCTCACGGGGGCTCTTTTTTTTTGGGGGGGGAAGAGCCCCCGTGGACAAAAAATTAATTTGAGCCCTGGCTATGACGTTTTAATATATATCAATTATTGAGTAGGCTTATTTTGCTTTCTAATGGATCCATACAACATGGCAGAGCTTGAGGGGTCTGGCAGAGCCTTTTCAAGAGAGAAATTGTCTTTAGGAGAAAAAAGAGGTTATTTCTAAAATGAAATGAAAGGACTCTTGTCAAATAGCCCTTTCATTTCATTTTTTCTCTCGAAATAAACTCTCTTTCTCTCTTATAGACGATTTTATGAGATGGAATCTTCAATCTGAAGCCTTTTTGTGCTCTTTGAAAATGGCACACTGAATGGGGGCAGTGCAATTTAAATTTCAAGGGATGGATTAGAGTTTTTATTGAGAGTCAAATAGCCCTTTCATTTCATTTTAGAAATGAACTCTAATACATTCCTTGATATTTAAATTGCGCCGCCCCTATTGTGTCCTCTTTTTAAAGAGCACAACAGAGCCCTCAGATTAGGCAGCAAGTAGCAAAACAAACCCGTAACACTGGACACAACATTCAATGGGATGATGCCCATATCATTGAGTTTGAAACGCACTTCTGGTCAAGAATGGTAGAAGAAGCATCTGCATAAAAAGGATGAATCCTTCACTGAATAGGGATTCTTGCGATACACTTTTACCTTTGTGTAAATAATAAAAGGTCCACGGGCGTGGTTGTTAGAAGCTTAAACTACATAAAACTCTCTCCAATTTTGCAGGGAGAGCCTTTGTCGGGAGTCTTTAATAATAAAAGGGATAAATCCTTCACTGAATAGGGATTCTTGCTATATGTTACCTTTCTTCGCTCCAGTGATCTCGAGGCAGCAGACAGCAAGAAATTGTGTAAATAATTTGCTGTTGCCGGGAGTCT